CATGATTGTTCTTTGTGTTCTATTTCAGAATCTATCGTTTTATTTAGTCTGTTTCTAAAAAGTGTTAAGTTTGGTTTGAGATTTTTTATGAAACATAGGTATATGCAGTATTTAGCAATAAGAACACAAAGTGATTAATGTAATATGATAGAACATGATATCGTACTATGCTGCTCTTTTTCCGTTTGTCACAACAAAGTAGAAAAGCCTGCAGCACTTTAAAGCTGTGGCATTTATTGATGGCTCACAAACTTTGCCGTATAGAAGACCCAAATCCTTACTAGGACAACATTTATTGCTTCAGCTGAAGTTAGTCCTTCTAGCTTGGCAGGCAATAAACCACTCTTGTAATAACATCCTACTTTAGTAGTGCGGATCAGAACATCTCACGAGTGTGATGTAACGGGCAACTTTCCCCCCTTACAAATCTCAACTCTCAAACCATGCAGGGCTTGAAATACTGGGTGCATGTGCACCTTAGTGCACCCAAAATTGTAGCTTTGCACCCAATTTTTTACCATTTTCGCATGCGCGAAAATGGTAACTCAGACGAGATTGACATTGGATGCATGGATGGATGGATCAACGGTTCCACCCTTCAACGGCCATGCAGACATGCTAAGTCACCGCATGTCGCTAGATGTCGTTGTTGCGACGGCCATGCAGACATGCTGAGTTGCCGCATGTCGCTAGATGTCGTTGTTGCGAGTGCACTTTTTACCATTTATGCCTTGGACGTTTGCTAATTTCAAAATCATAGTTCTATTAATGTTGCATAACAAAGCTGCTGACAAAACAAACTTAATTTGTCTTGAACAATAACTTGATTTTATTATTTGCCAAAAATGTTGATAAAGACATGTCTATAATCACAGTAATCAAGGATTTTAATAAACTTTATAAATTATGTCAATGAGCATTAGCAGTGTGGATTAGTCTAGATGTTCAGATTTCCATTAGCCGGCAGTCCAGAGGGTCACACGTCCGACCAATCAAGGCGCTGCAGGCAAAGCTTATTAAAAGCCTCCTTTTCAGGCGTTCCCGGATCGGTGTTTTTGTGTGTGTGTGTGTTGGGGGGGGGTGTATTTTCTGACCAAACGTAGATCGCACGCAATAGAAGCTCCGGCCTACATAGCTGTCCGTGGAACTATTGATATTACCTGGGTGCCTAACTTTCACCAACATGTCTTTTGTATTTTAGGAAATTAATTAATTAATGAGTGAGTGTTTAATTAACTTAAATAGGTATTGCATTGTTTGGCAAGGTATTTTCTATTGACAATTTTTAATAGATCAGGTTGATCAAATGATATAATGTAAACAATTATAATATATATGATTAGTAAAAGATGACTTTTGAAGTTCTCTTCGAGTATTATTTTAGGGTTGAATCAGGGTCAACGCGAAAAAAAATCATGATCCGGTGATCGACATCATGCCCCCCCGCACACTTCATGTATTCAGTGTTCTAAATACCCGTCTTCAGTCTGCAATTTGCAGATAGATTTTCAAGATTTCAGGATAAAAATTACACAATCTGCAATTTGAAGAATGAAAAAAAAAACTATGGTCCTCACAACTTCATATTCCCTTTGTTTGACCCGCCCGGCGCCCAAATCCCGCTGCGATTCAAGCCGCGACGGCTTCCCGAGCCATGCAAATAAACCTAGTCCTGACGCCACAGCCTCCGATTTCCACCGAGCCAGCCCCGAGCGCATGCCGACAGCGAGGGATGTGGCTCAGATTTCCGACGATTTCCTTATTTAGATCATTCGGAAGACTTCGGGTAGCAAACAAAATGGCCGCCATGCACATGATTTTATACTAGTAGCTTCGCTTCTCAACCGAAATGAGGAAGTTTAACCTCATTTGCAGACTTTAGCGGCCATGGAGTTGATTTGGGGAAGTGCTGAGACGCGATTTCGCTACGGCATATGGGATTTTGCCGCGGAGGGAGTTACGTACGCCGGCAAAAACTTGCTTCAGCGATCGGCTCCAGAAAATTTATCTTTATGCTGCCGCTCAAGTCTTCGAAGGTGGTTTAACGAAGTTCATATAAATAATAAAGCCACTTTGCGTAGATCGATCTCCGTTTTCTTGCGATGGTATGAAAATTCAAGTACAGTATATTTTCAAAACGTTTGATATTTCTTTGTTCGTTGCCACATGTTGTTTATTTATCTTATTGTCATGTACAGTTACCAGCGTGAGTCTGAGTCGAGCCATTGTTCTTATGTGGCCGTTAGCACATGTTGTTTAAACAGACAGCAACATTGAAGAAAAGAACCGAGTTAACGTTAACAGACATCGGCACGTTCCTTGAAGTCAGGTTTCCCGCCGTATTTAAATAAGAAATGTGTGGGCCCGCGGCGTTTTGAAAAGACCGGCGCTTGGAAAGACCCCGTGCCGTGGCTCATTCAAATTCGCTACATTTTTTGCTAAGTTTAATGTCTTCACCCACGATTTTTGACCGTCAATGTTGACGGTAAGGACTTAAATTTTTACCGTCCGACGGGAAAAAATACCGTCAATTGACGGTAAAACGGGCGCTGGCTAAAGCCCTGGTTGAATGTCACGAGGTTTGTAAACTTAGATATTGGGGACAAAGCCATAGAAGAGATTTTGAATAAAATTATATATATATATATTAATGTTACTTATAATTTAAGTTAAAATGTACTTTTGTGTCTCATTTTTTTATTCTGTTAAAAAGACTCTTAAAAGAGAGAAAACAGGTTATAAACTGTTATATACTTGATTTTTGTAATGTTTTAAACTTAAAGAGTTGAAATATAGAAGTGCATGTTCTCTCATTATATACAATGTTGATGAGAACTAGAACCATTTATATAACTTAGGTAAATTGAAATGCTAGGATGGGGAAAATGTTCGTAAAAACTGTAAGCCTGTAAGCGGCGAAAATGGTCAGCTTTTGCAGAAGCACTTGTTTTGTTACCTCCATGAAAAATGGAGGTATTGTTTTTGGCGGCGTCTGTCTGTGTGTCTGTGTGTGTGTGTCTGTGTGTGTTTCCGCAACTTTGTAGTCAGCATAACTTCATAACGCCTTTATGGATTGTGATGATATTTGGTATGCGGATAAGTCTTAGGAAGACAAAGGTCAAGGTCAAATATGGGCCTCCTGGTGGATGACCTTGGTACTGCAGCAGAACTTCCGGTTTTTGTATCTTTTGTCTATGTCTATGCTATGATCTTCAATTTTTGGTGACAGATAGCTTTTCCTGTTAGGAATAAGTGGTGTGGGTTTGGTCCCCCTAGCAGCTTGTTCAGGAACTGCAGGGGACTTTCGGGCGAAATCTTTGAAAGCCAATAAGTCCAGATAGGAACAGCGTATTTTCATCATTTTTGGTGTGTAGGTATCTGACAGAGAGATGTACATAATTAACTGCAAATTATGCAAATGAGGACTTTATTTGCATAATTAATGAGGAAATTCTATAATTACAGTGTTTTACATTATAGAACTTTCATACATGTAATGTATGTAACCTATGGCAGATGGAACATCAACAGATACTAATTATGCAAATGATGACCTAATTTGCATAATTAATGCAAAAAATATATGATTTCTTAATGGTGAATGATGGGAATGTCTTACTTGGGACATCTTTAAGTTAATCAAAAGTTAACATCACGATGCATATATTATGTTAATGCAGAGGTCATTTGCATAATTAATGAAGAAATTTACATTTACATATCAAGCCCATATTTCATGGAGGTATGAGATCTCGGAACTCTTGTTTTGTAGGTATTTTTGTACATATTAGATGTATAATTATAGTATAATAGTATACAGGATATTCTTGGCATCTAAGTGTCAGAAAAATAATAAAATCTTTGTTGTAGTACTTCTGTTAAGATTTTGATGTTAGCTCCCATTTCAGATTCAAGCTTAGAAGAGGAGCAGTAAGATCTGTAATTTGTTTTACAGGTGCACCCAAAAAAAATTTTGTGCACCCAATTTCTTAGGTTGGGTGCACCAGTGCACCTATTCCCAAAAATGAATTTCAAGCCCTGAACCATGTAAAATTCCATTATCCTATCTGCAAGGACGTGTTGAGCCAAGGTGTTTGGTCGTGATATAGAAGTGTTACTCATGTACCTTCTGAAAATGAGAAGTAGTTTGTCTTATACCGCGCTTTGATAAGCCAAAAGTGCGCAGTGCCCAACGAAGTATTAAGGACTGCCCTAAGGGCTCGTATCTGCTGGATTTTCTAGTTACAGGAAATTGGGTCCATTTTATGCAGCTGATAAATATTCTACCACAGGGACTAAAGTATGAATACAGTCAAACCTGTCCAAGCCGGCCACCCAAGGGACCAAAGAAAAGTGGTCACCTCACCTCACAACATGACTGAGACATAAATCAGGTTTCCAAGTCGAGATGTTTTAATTTCAAATGTTGTAAACGTATGTGTCCATAATATCACCAGGGTCCATAATATCGCCACCTTGAGAAATAGTGACTGAAAGATATTTTTACTGCAACATACCCTAGGTATGTACATTTGATGTGTGAAGGAGTGCATACCAAAAGTATGTTGCAGTAAAAATATCTTTAAGCACACTGTTTCTCAAGGTGGCAATATCATGGACCCTGGTGATATCATGGACACAGATGTTAAATGCACGTGGGGAGGGTGACTGTTATAATTTATGTCAAACAAAAACATCATCCAGCAGTCAAGGCAAACTGGCTGGTTTCTCCATGATTTCTCATTATTTATCATCAATAATTAACATGATCGAAAATGATGTGGTCACCATGGGCAGGTATCAGGCCTTGAGGGGACCCAACTCAGGGCGGCTGCGTTGACCAGGTGGTCACCTTGGACAGGTTGCTTAATTCTTGTGTCAATTGGGAAAATTTTTGGGACAGAGAAAAAGCGGCTATGGACAGGTGGCCAGGTTGAAGAGGTGGTCTCCTTGGCAGGTTTGACTGCATGGTAGAGGAAGAAAAGCACTAAATGACTTACCTGTAGTTTGACCTTAGCACCATCAACATTGACAACTTTGTTCTGAAAGGAAAAGAAGGAAAAAAGTCAGGCGTTATCTATTATATATATATATATAGTAAATACTTCATATAAATCCGAGACTTTAGAAATTTAGACTCTAAATATAATGAAAGTTCATCTGTGTTGGTAGTAATCATCGTAAAATGTTGAACTTTATTCCAACACAATTAAGGGGTATTATATAATAGAGAGACATCAAATTGATGAAGGCGACAGTGGTCGTTGAAAATTTGATCTCTATGTACCCATTGTGTTGGAATAAAGTTCAGCATTTTACAATGAAGTCTGATTCTAATAAGTATAATCTGAACATCAGATATTTTAATAAATTCATCTGTTTGGTGAAATTGTGTGTAAGTGTGGATATCTGTTCAAGAGTATGTTTTGTTTTCGTGTCTGGCAGTTTTACGCTTAAGTCTTCAATTCATCAGCCCATTTTCTCTTCCAACATTCATTATCTATTTTCCCATTCTTCCATCAATCATCCATTCATCCATTAGTCTTTTTATCCATCCATCCATCATCATTTCCTCCAAACTCTAATCCTTTCTATCCATCTCACTTCACATCCATCAACAGTTATCATATGATATTACATACAAATTGTGTCTCAACAGATATCGGCCCTTATTTTCCCACATCCATTGAAAACATTTTGATCCCCTAGAGTCTTACTAAACTAATATATTGTAACACTGGAGTTTAAATAGATTTAAAAGGGAAATCCAAGGCTTAAATGTACCACCTATTGGTTGATCCTAAGATATGATTGAATAGATATGAATACTTACTGAACAAGAATAACTATGGACTTTAAATGCTCAATATTTCCCCCAATACCACCCCAGTTTAAACTTGACAATGTGTTAAACAATAGAATCAAGTATGTACAATCATTATGCTCTTTGAAAATTGGTTACCAGTACAGTATTAAAATACATGACAGCAAAAGCTGTTAACCAATAGTATTATAAAAGTCTTAGAATAGTCTTCATATCAGAATGATGTTCTCAATATTTTCCCTAATAGATAAGTTTTAAAAGATTTCTGCAACCCAGTCTGCCAACGTACATGTATTTGCAGAAGGAATATACATTAGTTTCATATAACACTACCAGATAATTTGGCATTATAAGTCAGGCTAACGATTCATACCAAACAGTGTTCAATACTTCCTGATGACCCATACACGCGTTCTAACGGGTTACCCCAGTTCAAAATGCACGACCCTCCTACACATTATCATTAACGGCATGTTCTGTAGCAAGGTGACATTCATCAGGCACATAGAACCCCATTCGCGAGATTTGCTTAATAAGGGCCTAGGGAAAAAAATGTTGTGTTTCCTGTCCTGAAAAAAATTAGGGTCAATAGGTAGGAATTATCTTCTTTTCCTTTTTTTTTTATTAGACTTTGGCAATCTCTCAGTGACTCAACTTATACAAGTTATCAATAAAACAAAAGTTGCATGAGGACACATTCATTTTCAATGTCAATGTTGGAAAACCAATTGTACAATATCCGTGAATAGTTTCATCAGGTTGGTAAGTCACTGAGTAAAGAGACTCTTTTTATACTATTCAGTTGAATAAAAGACTTGGTTGTGTAAAATAAGTCTCTTAAATCCTATTGTACAACGTTTCATCACTCAGATGTCAGATCATGGAGCTAGAAATTGTCGATCGACTCAAAAAAAATGTATGTCCCTTGAAGGGGTTCACACACAAGATTAAAGGCATGTTTGGCAGTCTTTTCTAGGATCAGTTGGGAAACAGGAAACTCAACATTTCTAAGGCCTAGGAAAAAAATGTTAGGCCTAGGAAAAAAAAATGTTGTGTTTCCTGTTTCCCGACCGACCCTAGAAAAATCTGCCGACCCTAGCCTTTCTTTGGTGGATCCCTGCAAGGGACCTAAAGTTTTTGAACTGATTGACTTTTTTAGCTCCATGATCTGACACCTGAGTGATGAAACGTTGTACAATCGGTTTTCCAACATTGTCATTGAAAATACATGTATAAGGGTCCTCATGCAAGTTGTTCAAGTTGGATCACTAGAGATCGCCAAAGCCCAGTAAAAAAAATTAAGAAAAAAAATAGATAATCCCTACCTACCGACCCTAATTTTTTCAGGACTGAAACAGGAAACACAACATTGTTTTCCCTAGGCCTTACCCAACTAGTGTGGCCTCCCATCCACCCTGTGATCCCCGAAAATGAAGACGGATGTACCAAGTAATGCAACTCAGCGACGTGTGAACAACCTGCCATTACACTTTGTCAGCCTGTCTACCGGGGGGGGGGGGGGGCAAATGAGTGATTTATCGCAGCAGACATTCCTGTGTACAAAATACTTTTTTTTTAACGGCAAAAATTAGGTTGCCCATCAGAATTTTAGGTTGCCCCACCTGTAAGTTACTACTTTCCTCAAATTAAGTAAATTAAATGTAATATAATTTGTCACAGTCTCTAATTAATATCAAGAAACACTGGTGACTACGATTTAATATCTTTTCCCGAGTCAGAGGAGTATGGGATAGACTGCAAGTATAATATCCCATTACCAGTAATATGGGCATATCTATAAAAAAAAGATAAATTCATAGCTTTTGCCTTGATTTAAAAAAAAAGACAAGTAATACATTATGAAACTTTGTAAACTCAATTTCCATTCTGACACCACAAGATAGCCTTCAGCAAGTAAACATCACAGAGCAACTGTTATATAAAGGTTTACAATGTAGATACATGTAGCTCAGCTGTTACTGAGTCAAAACTATAAGGGAATAGGCTGAAATGTCCTTGTCCGCATGGCAGCTGTGAGCTACAATTGACAAGCTGTGCTGTTTGAAGCTTTGTTAAGATCCGGAGCTTTTCCCACATGTTCAGAACCCTGACAGTGATGTATCGAGTAGCTCCTGGGTCATTTGGGAGGATTTTTGGTAAGGAGACTGTGACTTTCAGAAATTCAGCAACAGACTTTTAAACATTCATGGAAACAAAAGATCACATATGTTATATGTGCTTAGTATGCTACTGCAGCACTATAAAGACTTAGATCAGGTCCACCAAGGCTCTGGCCTGGCTCTAGGCCTGGGTAGTCCATGGTAGTAAGCGGCAATACGGAGTCGGGCACCCAAGCTACTGAATCTCCACAACTCAACAACTGAGTACATACGTACAGTGCTGATTCATAAATTCCACTAAAAGCCAGCATGTGCCGGCTTGTCGCTATGTACTTTCGCAAATTCACAATACCAGCTTTGTATTCCTGTGGTTTAGTAGCATTTTTATTTTTGGCTGGTCACTTTTTTTTATTCGCCCGCGCGCACTAGTTTGGGGGTCTTCAGAGGATGTCATCCATAAAATGAAGTCAGCATGGCCTTATTGGCATTCTACCAGTAATACCTGATTGTATAGTGATACATGGCATACTGACACACCTATAGGAACTGAAGGTCAACTTCCGCTACAAAAGGTAAAGATGTACTATGTCCTGTCAGTGTGCTTACAAACGAACGCAGCATTTCTATGCCAGCTACATACTAGGTACAGTATTTATTGGGTAAGGCCACACCAATTTAATTTCTTGGTTAACGGATTCGCCGCTTCATTTTTTTCTGATTTGCAAATAAAAATAAAAATCCAGAATCAACTGCAAAATGCTCATATTTTGCCCTGAACAGTTGAAAACAGACCTTTTCATCCTAGTTGTTACTAACAGTTATTCCATCTTTCAATGCAATGGTATCATTAAAAGTTCTAAATTCATTGTTTAAATTTTGAACCAGCCTGGTGTATTAACTTCATGGCTCCTATCGTACCATTTTGGGCCATATAATAAGACGCCTAGGCCTGTTTTTATTTTTATTTTTTTTTCGCCCGCCCGCTCCATTATTTTTCTAGAAAAATCCGTTAACCAAGAAATTAAATTGGTGTGGCCTAATGGAAGATATATCCTCTCTTTGGTCTGGTCGTAGAAAAGCCAGCATTACCTGGTGAAAAGTCATACCTTGAGAGTCAGTGACCTACAACTGTTTTCTATGTAAAATGTTACCATCCTTCAAAGTTTTTGAGGTCTGCTGGCCTTTTCATGTCTCTAAAGCCTTCATGTAGAAGAGGAATTTCAAGTTTCTGCCCCTGTTGCTACTAGATGAATCTTTCCACCAGGAATTTTGCACTTTGCAAACTTTACAGTGAATTGCAGTGATCTCAGGGTCTGCACTTCACATTTCAACATTACCTTAAGAGAGTCAGACTGAGTGACCTATAACTACTGTTTTCTATGTAAAATGTTACCATCCTTCAAAGTTTTTGAGGTCTGCTGGCCTTTTCATGTCTCTAAAGCCTTCATGTAGAAGAGGAATTTCAAGTTTCTGCCCCTGTTGCTACTACGAATCTTTCCACTAGGAATTTTGCACTTTGCAAACTTTCCAGTGAACTGCAGTAAGCTCAGGGTCCGCACTTCACATTTCAACATTACCTTGATAGAGTCAGACTGAGTGACCTATAACTACTGTTTTCTATGTAAAATGTTACCATCTTTCAAAGTTTTTGAGGTCTGCTGGCCTTTTCATGTCTCTAAAGCCTTCATGTAGAAGAGGAATGTCAAGTTTCAGTGCCCGTTCAACCACTAGATGAATCTTTCCACCAGGAATTTTGCACTTTGCAAACTTTCCAGTGAATTCCAGTGATCTCAGGGTCTGCACTTCACATTTCAAGGGTATTAACTCCAACCCACCTTCAGAATCACTTCCTAACTTCAAGTTTCTGCCCGAATAATAACTAGAGGAATCTTTCCAGGAGGAATTTTGCACTTTACAAACTTTCCAGTGAACTGCAGTGAGCTCGGGGTCCGCACTTCACATTTCAAGGGTATTAACTCCAACCCACCTTCAGAATCACCCTCTAACTGATGAATGGTCTGTTACCTAAGTGAATAACAGGAGGAAACTGTGCAGTTATTGCCTGACAAGGTAGGTACCCCGCCAAATCGATGCGGCG